TTATATCATATTTTAGTCCCAAGTATCTACCTCGTCCCTTTATCTTGAAAGATCATCTTCAGAATGTCAAATGAAACAACACAATTTGGTTGAATAAAAATGATACTAATGAATAAAATGTTCACTGGAAATAATGGATGAAAAATATTGGATAAACTCATGGAATCGATACATCTCATTATACATTTAACAACTAGAAGCTGGGCTATAACATTAGCAATTTAGATGCTCTTTGGAACTATTATGTGAGTCTAGAACTCTCTAATAATATCTATCACATGTCAAAGTGCACCAGATTCTAATATCCATTCTGGTGATATTGTGATGGAAATATCGGCATGAGCCTATGTATCACGAGTATCTTTGTCAGAGTGCGCATAAGTAGCAAAATTAAACTTGATGACGATGATGTGGATGCACCCTCAGCCCTATCAACAGCTACTTTCTGCATCTTCTTCAACATCTCCAAAAACTCATGATCCCCATCGTTCAAACCCACATCTATTTCTCCCTCATCCTCTTTTGCCATTAGATTTTCCCGGTAGCTCTCTTTTCCACCCCTTTGACCAGCGCGGCCTCCAAACTATCCACGTCCACCTGTAACTCTCTCCTTAAGTGTCATAGGATGGGTCTTGCTCAGATGACTAACTTCACCACAGTTGTAATACTTGCGAGTCACCCCGTGGACACCTGTCAAACCTGAGCTCGAGGTAAACAAGTCTGATCGAGTACCTGGAAGTCCACTCGGCTTGGAGTGTAGCCTCATGAACTCTCTTCCTGTATCATCGTAGCATGGTCTCATCCAGTGAAGGAATAGTTTTTTGGTCTACGAGAACTGATCTCCTCTGATCAAATGTCGGGTTCAGATGAGCCAAATACTGCATTGTCCTCATCTATGCAAAAATCTCCCCCTTCTTGCACCTAGGATCTCCACAGCTCAACACCGGTGAGAAGTGATAAAGTTCTACCCAGAGTCACTCCAGAACTATGGAGTGCTCCTGAATTGATCTATCACTCTATACCACTGTCTCTATCTCAGGCTGAATCTGAAACACCCTCATGTGGTTCTCAGCTCCATTATAGATCTTCTTCAGCTTCGCCCAGATGTCCCTCACTTTTCGAATACCATGTAATTATGAGGCAATCGATGAAACCATCAAGTTGAATAGCCAAGTGTAAAGAAAGACATGTATGGTCCTCCACTCATCGACCTCAACACTGTCACTCTTTAACTAGACCTCCGTCAGATATCCCTTTAGTCTCTTCCCTACTAGAGCAGCATTGATTCGACGTGACCAACTCAAATACATGGTCAGTCCATCAAATTTCAGATCCGCAGGAGGGAAATATATCTTCACCTGTATTGGAGCACGTGTTGATGCAATGGCTCTCATCAAGACTCTAGCACCCCGTATTGGCCAGACATAAACCTTCAGAACTTCAAAATCTAATTTCCCTTGAAGCTCCAATCTTTTACCTCCTCCACTATTTTCATCTCCATCTCCTGACATACTCAATCACAAGTATCTAAGTCTAGATCATATAAAACACATGTGAATTTTACCCTTCGCGTATGTACGTTATGATCAAGTCTACAATTGCATCGTGGCCTCCCTGTTAGGTCTGCGATCATGTTGTGGCCTCCCTAGTTAGCTCTAATTGTGATTGTATAGTAAGGGTTCACACCACTATTCCATCATTGTCTTCTCAGTTAGCTCTAATCATAATTGTATCGTGAGGGTTTACGTTACGATCCCGTCGTTGTCGTCCCAGTTAGCTCTAATTGTGATTGTATAGCGTGGTTTCATGTAGCGACCCCATCGTTGTTGTCCCAATTAGCTCTAGTTGTGGCTGCTTCGTAGGACAAAGCGGAAGGAAGTGGAAAAATGGGAGTTCGAATCTCCGTGAACCAATCCCACTCGTTGGATCGAGCAGCAATAGCGACGGCTAGGGTTAGGGCTTTAATACCCTAAAGAAATAATTGCTATAAAAAACTTCGTTCATTTCATTAATGATGTGAGCTTATATAGAGCCTTACAATGTTTTTACAGATAAATTTCTAGACTTGCTCTATTTACAAATATGATCATAAATTAGATACAAATATCAACATATAGTATCAAGCTAGCACTCAAATATGAGACTTTTCTTGGTGAAAATAGAGGAACATGGCTGGGTTAGGAGAAAAAGTATTTTAAGTTAAGAAATATTATAACAAACTATAAAGTAATTGCAAAAAACGATCAAGCATCACAAAAGAAAACACCAAAATTTACTTGATTTGGTGCAAGTAAGCATGTGTTCATGATTGCACAAAGATCCACAAATCTAGCTTAAAAAATAAATAAAGAATTAAACTTTATACAAATTTGAAGCTATGATCAAAGATACAATTTAGACTAGCTAAGACAAAACATGATCATATGTTGTGAAAATGTCACCTAAATATGGAGAAAGTAATTTGTAGCTCAAATTACTCTCTTCCCCTCTCCGTTATAAGCGTCTAAACGAGAATACTTTGTCCTATGATTAAGAGCTTCTTTTTTTTCCTTGAATCGGAATATCAACATTTTTTTCTTCATGAAGAAGCCAAAAAACACACCAACAAAAAAACAAAAATCTCTTTTTGAATTCCCTTCCCTTTCTATCTCTCCCTTCTATTTGTTGCTTCCTGCTGTGGGATACATGAAACAATTGATTTCTTCCCCTATTTATTGTTACCTCTAAAGGAAGTAGCTTTAAGAAATGGAATATGAATACAACTTAAGCTAAGTTGCATTAAAAATTAAGAGTAAATGAATCCTGAGTTGGGAGCAATCATTCTTAAAAGTCTGCTATGAACTGAGCTCACGATTGGCAGCTACTAAACTTGGTCTCAGCACCTAACATTCTATTTATAGCATGAGAAGGCAAGTTAGCAACAAAATGAGGCCATGTCGAGCAATCAAATAAGAGCTCGCCAAAATGATAGGTATGAAAGAGCATCTAGCCTCGCAAAGTCTCAAGTTCAAGTGAGAATCTAGTCAAGAAATTTTTAGCATAACAAATTGTCCAAATTTCCCAATCATCGCTATCATAGTTTAGCATGGGAATCCTAAATTGGCCAATAGGAATCCAACAAAGGCATGATGGCTTTGAGTGACAATTACTACCATGTAGCTCTATTTTGTAAAATGAATTGACCAAAATCATCCACTTCATCTAGGGGGGAAAACTTGAGTTACATACCTGTGTGGCTCACATTAAGCAATAGCAATCAACATTATAACCAAAGAAAATAATACTAATCATTTATTTTTTTCCCTTCCTATGCTTATGCCTAAATAGAGTAGTTGATGCTACTTCCTTATGGGCATCGATTAAGTTAATTTGGGCATGCTTGAACACTAGTTCAATCAAATCAAGCCATTTTAGAATTCATTTCCATCTCATATAAGGTTTAGAGATCTATGCTTCATGTCAGAATTTACACTTTGCAAGATTTTTTAAATAACCCAACAGCAAAAAAAAATTGCCACAAGCTAGTAAATCACCAAAATGATGAATGAATCTTACATCACTAAATAAAACAAAATGGCGGCATTTACATACGTGTCACCCAATTCCTATGTATTTACATATCTAACACCTGAATTTTATCTATTAGATTTACAGTGGCAAGTATTGGTGGTCCAGCAACATTGGCGGTTAGACAGACGTTGTCCGGTTGGGGCTGCTAAACCATCGATGGCAGGCCAATGATGGTTTGACAGTGATGGCGGCTCAATGGAGGTGGTCAAGCAGCCGTGATCTAGCAGCGACGATGGCTCAACAGCAGTGGTCAGGCGCAGCGATGGTGGTCTACCAGTGGCGACAGTTAGTCAGGGGTGAACTGACGGTGGTGGAGCTCAGGAACCCTCACGAGCTTGAAGCTCCTTCACCTTTCTCTTCCAAGTCCAAGTACTCCATTAAGAGAGCGAGACTCTATTTATAGATTTTGGTAGTAACATCATCCGTAAATATTGCATCACACTGGACACTCCATCGGACGGCCTAGAGGGATTCCCTTGATTGGATGACATTTTATGAATATTTAAATGCCTTAATGATGACAAAATTAAGTGATAATTAGCTCGTTAGATTTGTTTCATCGAGATGCTCAATTTGATTATAAGCTTGTAAGATTTGAAATCAATTTGATTATTCAATCGATCATTCAAAGCCTCCAATTGAGCTTAAACAGCTTGATCCGGGCTTGATTGGACCACGAGTTGTACCAAGTTTAGAGTTGTCGGGCTCGTCATGTCGAGATGCTAAGTTCAATTATAAGTTTGATAAAATTGAAGCTTGGATGTTTGCTTAAACAGCTTGATCCGGGCTTGATTGGACCACGGGTTGTACCAAGTTTAGAGTTGTTGGGCTCGTCATGTTGAGATGCTAAGTTCAATTATAAGTTTGATAAAATCGAAGCTTGGATGTTCATGATCAGTATTTGGAATTGTTCTTTGTTCAAATGCTCTGGTATTCATCCATGATTAAAATAATTTTTGACGCATTGATGTTTATAGGTAACCTTGGGGGTAATTTGACCAAATGCTATAAACTTGAAAATTAGATCATTTGTTTGAAAGAAAAATAAATGCAAAGTTTTTAATTCATATTCTTATAAATTTCAAAATCATCAAATATGTAAATTTTGAATAAATTCCTCCCCAGCCACCGCCCGCGCCAGCCCACACCGCTCACCAACTGCCAAAATAAGGAGTTTATTTTACAGCAATCCAAACACCAAAAACTAATATCCTCAACTTATTCTATAACCAACCAAAAATCGTAAAAATTTCAAAAAAAAAATTAAAATCCAAATACCTGCAACTAAATTGCCCCTTGGTTTATTATAGCATTTCACACCAAGAAGTACTGAAAGCAAAAAAATCTAATCTTTTCACACCCCCAAATCCAAATCGCGTTACTTAAAAACCCTAACATAGGGTCAAACCGCCGGAGGAATCTCCACTAACCTTAGTCCCGCATTGGCGCACAATAATAGCCCCCGGCTTCGCAGTCTGATCGCCGTAAATCTTGACGCCAAGCCTCTTCCCACTCGAATCCCTCCCATTCTTCGTGCTTCCCGCACCTTTCTTGTGAGCTGACTCAATTGTCATCGGCAACCTCGCCGGAAGTGACACGGCAGCACCACAGCCGGCGCTGAGTTGCCTCCGATCTCCCCGAAGAAACGAGCTCGACAGCGAGAGGCTTTTAAAGGTTCCGATCAAGTTGAAAGTCACGTTAGCCATGTCTATCTCTCTTCTTCCCTCTCGCTGCTGGAAACACACAGCTGGGTTCGGTCGGATAATGAATTCCAAAAATATATTAAATTTTAACTTTTTTTTTTTACATTTTATTCATTAATTTCTGGATGAATATTTAATGTTTAGGTAGTTAAGTTCTAAGTTCAATTGTCTCTAATACCTCTTTTATTTAATGTTCTATGTTTTCATTAGTTGTTTCCTTTTGCTGGATGGTGGATCTTTATTTGTCTTCTTTCTTGCTGTGAGTGGTGGCTTTTAGATCTTCGGTTCTTCATGTTTTTGTTGATGTTGCTGGTCGTGTTATGTTCTTGTTAGCTAATTAGATTGTGTTTTTTTCTTAGTTTAGTTGGTTGTGGAGCCTATTTGTGTATGTCAACTTTCTTTTTTGAGTGAGTGTAATATGAATCTTATTGTAACTCGCTCTTTTATTTTCAATAAAGTTGGGTCTGATCCTCAAATTTACAAGCATGACAAATAATTTTTTTTATTAACGCTACAAGTTTACCACTCCACTGACATTTTTCTATCTTTGGAAAACAATATTTCTCTTCCCCAAAATCTCTCAAGTAGGTGAGAGTGAGTCAAGTACACTTGTGAGCTTGTTGAAGCTCGGCTCAATAAATGACTCAAGAACTAAGCTCGATGAGCTAACAAGCCAAGCTCAAGCTAACCCTAATTCGGTTTGTTAGCTCGTGAGTCGGCTCGTTTAAGAAAAATATTGATATAAAATATATTTAAAATATATTAAACATGAAGATTTTATCTTTAAAATATTTAAAATATTTAAAAATTAAATTTGGTCTTTTGGATTAAATGATTTCTTAGCATTTCTTCTCTAATTGGTCATTTTTATTTCTCATTTTATTACGACACTAACTTAAATTTTTATTTCTCATTTTTATTTCTCATTTTTATTTCTCATTTTATTATGACACTAACTAAAACTAATAGACTTAAGTTGGAACTCTAACTCGATAAAATTAGTCAAGTTAAGCTTAAACTAAGGGTGATTGATGGCAGGCGTTCGGCTAGAACTAATAGTAAATATGCAGTTCAATCCCAATAAAAATAAATTCAGTATAAATAATTTTATCTTTTAAAAACTCTAAGTTGTCAAACCCGTAATAATAATGCAAGTATACGTATCGCTCAAGTAATAAAATGCTCTAATGCAGTCCTATATATCGATCCCACAGGGAGTTCAAAATTCTTATGGTTATAATGTCAAACACAATATTCAAACTATAAAACTTCGGTAAGCAAAACAAATTTAAATTAAATTTAAGGTGCGCAAAATGAAATGCAGTTGAAAGAACTAAGTTAATTAAACTAATTGCTAAACTTCAAAAGTAAAATTATAAAGACTAAACAAAGTTTTGAAACGAAGAATTCAAATTTAAGAAAGCATCATTCCACTTTATAATGAGTTTATGAAATGTGAATAAATTAAAAACATTTAAAATACATATGAAATTGTATTGTGTCAAATAGGAGAAATCATATTTTTTACCCTCTGAGAGTGCATAAAAAACAATGACTAATCCAGAGTTTGGTCCCTAAATTCATGGTAAAGTTGAGAGGATATTGGCTGGCACTCCAGAGCTCTCACTTCTCCCTCGCCTAAGGGTTAACAATATCATCTTAGTTTCCAAGCAACTGGACCAAATTGGGGATTTTAATCTGTCACCTTAAAATCTTCAATTCTGCACCCATCAAAGTATGTTTATCTATTTATTTGCACGTAACATCATGGATAACATTCTCACTCATGAATGTTACTCAACCTCTTATTAAGTTTATTTGCACGCAACCTCATAGATTACAACCTCATAAATTACATTCTCACCCATTGAAAGTGACTCTTACCCTGTTGTAGAAAGCATGGCCCTTTCGGATCGTATGTTTTTCAACAAATTTTAACCTTTCAATTGGTCAGATCGAAAAGTAATTGAATATCAGAATTCAAATCATCTCAATTTATTAACATTTAAAATCTTATAAAACAAAACTAATTCTTCACAAAAACATATTTCATTGTAGGGAGAAAGATAAAGAAGACTACTCATAATTCATAAAAAAGATACAATAAAACATGAATTTCATACATAAAAACAAGTTTACAAAACAACAAAAGAAAAGAACACAACTTACCTCACACTCCTTCCCAAGCAAATTCGTAGAAGTTCCCTTTAAGCACTTTCTCTTTTTACAATCACACTCAATTCTCTCTTAGAAGTGTAACGAAGAAGAAATCTCTCACCTTCCTTCTCCTCTTATAATCTAGAAGAAAATTCCCACTTCTCTCTCACACCAAAACCATTATCTCTATCTTGCGCCCCCTCTCTTTTCTAAAATTTCCACCTTTTTAATTAGGGCCCAAAAAGAATTCAAAATTTCCTCCATTTTTTCCCTCAAAAGTCACAACTTTTTGCACCAAGTGATAAGTTCCTTAATCTAAGAGACAAATCTCTTCATTAAAGAACCTTCCAAAGTGTCTAGATGCATTGAACCACTCAGTTAGAAGTTTGAAATTTTTGGAGCCTTAAAAAACCGCTAAAAAATAGTTACGAACCAACTTACTCCATCTTAATTCTTCTCTGACGCTTCTGGCGCCAGTTTGGCACCTCTGACGCCAGCCTAATAAAGTTCGTGTTGTTCTCTGGATTATGGCACTTCTGGCGCCTCTGACGTCGCTTCATGAAGTTCGTGTTGCCTCTAGATTCTGGCATTGCTTCTCTGTAAAATAGCGCCTCTGGCGCTAGTTTCTAGTACTTCTGACACTAGCTCTCGAGAAAATGGTGCCAATCTGGTGCCAGGATCACGAAATCTCCACTTTGGCTCCAAATTTTCTCTTGTTTGCTACTTTTTGCTCTAAATGGCTAAAATAGATATACTTGCAAAAAAATATGAAAATACCCTTTTTAAAAGTGCAATATCACTAAAATAAGCATAAAATGGATACATAAATAGTATATTATTTTGGTGTATCAAAATCTCTCAAACTTAAATTTTACTTGTTCTCAAGTGACTTTTTTTCTACATAAAAATATGACTTATGGCAGAGATTAACTTATAACTTCTATAATTTGTTTTAATAAATATAATAGTATAACTTAAGTTAAAACTAAATGTATGAGAACATCTAGTAATCAAGTTTAAGAGTTTTGAATCTCTATTTATTTCAAGAAGAATTGTAATTTGTCATATCAAATATACTTAGAATATTCATATGAAAAAGAATTTCATGAAAACTTTATCAGTAATAATGCTAATACTAGGATACAAGTTTAGAAAATTTAATAAAGTCTTTTTCCTCAAGTTGATTCAAGTGAAGCCAATTTTTTATTAGGCATGTCCTCAAGCTTCGCCTCATGTTTTTTTTTCTTCAGGTTCTTTTTCAATCATTTTTTTCTTTCTTTTTTATGTGAGGATTACTATATATGAACAACCTTTAATAATTTTGAACTTCACTATCCTCTTCCTAAAGTCAAAATTTTTTACATTCCTTCACTTTATAAATTCATACTAGCTTTGAAGATTTTTTTAATGTTTTTTTCTTTTCTTCTTACATGAAACTCTAAGATTATTAATACTTCAAAAATATAATTTTCTTTACTCTAAATAGAAAAACATAGTCTTATTCTTTCATACTAAATATCTTAACCCTAGAATTGACCTTCATTATTGAAGATTTTTGCTTAAATTTACCAAAATATTTACAAACAAAAACATAGTTATTTAAAATTAAACTCTAATATCAATGATCATGTTAGTTTAATTTTTAAAAGTATAGTTAATTGAGGATAAATAAAATTTAGTTCACTTTTTTTCAAAAAATTTTTCTTTCCCCCAAACTTAAGTTTTAAAATAATAAGTAAAACGTGTAGTACCAAAAAAAACTTGCAATTGAAAGAAAACAATAAGTGCATAAAAATAAAACTAACCAATAAAGGATTCTGAATATGAAACTTGGTTCTTGATGTTTTGCAGGTGCTACTTAAAAAGTACATGCTTTAAAGCATTAAATGAGACATAATATATCAAAAGATACATCACTAGAAGTAGTTGTTATAAAACATAAAATTATATTATCAACACAAAAAGGGGGTCAAGTTTTTGGCTTTTGTCAATGAGTGAAATTAAAGAGGATATACACTAAGAAAGTTCATCAGATTGCGGTATCATTGAGCAAAGTAATTCGATGATATAACTTATCACACTCTTCAACTCTTGAGCCCAAGTTCAATAAGGTTATGCACAAACAACCCCTATACCTATAAAATTCAACCTAATTCTTAATATGCATGGTAGATATAAGTTGCAGAATGTATTTGATATGTTTTACAAAATATTAACTTTAAAATTTTGTTAAATGCTTCATGTCAATGATCACCTTTAGTAATAGTCGTTGTCTAACTCTGCTGTTGGATCATTTTTGGTCGACTTTCATCATGAGTGTGTAGTTTTTTTATCGTCCTGAATGATTGTTGTCTCCTGACCATCATTTAGTTGCTACATCTAAATCGTTTTAACTGTTCATTTCTTCTTTGATCTTTCCAACTAAATTCATAAGAAGTCAAGCATATTTATGTACTTTGTAACTGAAGGAAAGACCAAAGTTTAACAATATAATATAACAAATTACTTCATTTGAGTCAAGTCATTTGGTTCCTTCATACGGTCATTTTTTATGCGGTCCTTCTTTCATACTGAATAAAATAATATTTTCACTAACATCATTTTAAATATAACTATATAATAGGAAAATGACATCTCATCGAGCGAAAGGAAGCATCTTCAGAACCACACCTGAAGATCACTCTCCTGTTGGACTGCTGATAAGTTAGAAGTCAACTAGTCGAGTGACCCTTCCTAACCAGCCATCACAGCTGGTTGGCCCACTTGGCCGACCCACTTGGCCGCCCTAACAGTCGACCAAGCCTTCTTGGTCGGCCACCAACAGTCGACCATCCATTTTGGCTAGCCCTTCTAGTCAGCTGACCCTTTATGACTGACCACTAACAGTCGCCTGACCCTCTCGACCAATCCGTCTAATCGGTCGACCCTTCTTGTTTTGGCCACCACCAGCCGACCGATCCTCATGGCTGGCACTCTCCAGGTAAGTAGCCCACTTTGCCAACCCCCTCTAGCCGGTCGGTAACCTAACACCGATGGATCCTGCAGACATACTTCAAATATGGCCGATGGAAGGACTGAAATACCCTGTCACTCTTATAAAGCAAAGACATGCATGGAATTTCCTATTTCCCTTTCTTTGTAATTCTATAGATAGAGGATCATTATCACGTGTAAAAGGGTCTATAGGCTATCTCTCTCTCAACCCTAATGTAGGGCGAACACTCCCCTTATTCCCTCAATTATGGCATTTACTTTGTAGGGAATAAAATGAGCCAAAGATCGTGGTGCATCCCTCTTTGCCCCCCATGAGGTAAATCTCTATTTCTTACTCCCTTTTTCTTTTTCCCTCGGATTTCATGCTCCATTGCTTGGGCACATTCTATAGGAAAACTCTGGATTCAATATTAGTGTAGTGATTATGGACATGTTGACAACAAGAAGAGGAGTACTCCGAATTGGAGAAAACCCAAAAGAGAAACAAAAAAAAAGAAGACAAGGAGAAAAAGACAAAATAAGAAGATAAGAAGAAAAAGTCAAAACAAGAATATTAGAAGAAAAAGATAAAAATCAAAGAGATAAGAAGAAAATAGAAGATAAAAGGATAAGAGGAGAAATGAAAAAAAGCAAGATGAAAAAAAAGGAAGAAGAACTACCTCACACTCCATGAAAGATAAAACCCAACACAGAAGAATAAAAAAGATAAGTATTTGTTTTCTCTAAGTTTTTTTTTAAGAGATCACGAAGAAGAAAAAAAGATAAAAAATAAAAAGATGAAAAAGAAAAGATCTCTCCTTACTCAAAGCCTCACCTTCGGGATGAGCATACAAAATCTCTCTTCATTTCAGTCTCTCAACTATGATGAGCAAACAAGATCTCTGTTTATTAAAGCCTCTAATCTGGGATGAGCAAAATAAAATCTGCCCTCACACTGAACCATGGGAACTCTTCTCAACCCATAACGAAACTCGACTCGAAAAAAACTATAGAGGTGGTTCTCTACCTATCGACAAGATCCACAAAAGGTACGACGCAAATAACAGAATTAACAAGGCTTAATGGTTACCTCCGTGAAGGCTGCGATAAGAGCTGTCTATGACCTGGCGAAAGGTGAGGCCCAAAGGAGGCATTGTTCCAAGAAGGAAAAAAGAGATGTGCAAAGAGTGAAACTTGAGTTGGGCAAAATTTTAAACATAAAAATTTAAAGAAAACTTAATTGAGTATACTATAAAAAATCAACTCATTTGCTAATAAAAGAACGGTACAAAATTTACGTCTAGTTAGAAGTTCATGGGGCTGTAGCTTCTGTACTTATAAATTTTTCATTCTTATCACAGCTTCGTCTCCAAGAGGTAAGTAACTCTTGCGCTTCATGTATAAAAAAAAATTCTACCCCGCTGAGCCGAAGGAAGTGTCGTAAGAACCATATAGGAATGCCACCCTCCGGATACCGACTACCCATGACCAACCACTTGGAAGTCAACCAGTCAGTCGACCCCTTGAAGGGTGGTCATTGGCCAGCCACCTCCAACCGCTAACCCACTTGGTCGGTCACCAAAATTCGATGGTTCTTGCAGACAGACTTTAGGTCTGGGTGATGGAAGAACTGAAATACTGTCTGCCGCTCTTATAAGGCAAGAGCATACATGTAATATCCTATTTGCCTCTCTTTGTACTTCTATAAATAGAGGGTCCTTAACATGTATAAAAGGGTCCCTAGGCTCTCTCTCTCAACCCTCATTTACGGAGCATGCTTTCCTTCTTCACTCACTCGTAACCTTTATTTTGCGTGGAATAAAAGAGGCCAAAAAACTCAAAAAACATCCCTATTTTTCTCTCTCCTTTTCTCTT